GAATCTTCTTGAATATTAGATTAAAAACTATTTTTTACTATGTAAACTTTTAGATATTAGAATAAGAGGCGAATATGTTCTGTATCTATACCTGTACCAAGGAAAGTTGGAAGCTACTCTTTCTTTCTTATGCCCCCCTTTCCCCTTTTTCCTTTTTTCCCCTTTTTTCCCCTTTTTTTCCCTTCCTTTTTCTTGATTTTTCTGTATTTTAACATTTTTTGAAAACAATAAAATTTATAATAATAATAATAACCCCCCCCCCGAATATTCAGAAAAGGATCACAGAGTATTTCTCAAGATTTGAGCAAAATTACATAAAGTTCAACATGATGTTTCTGGGATTATCTAGAGATGATTGTGAGCAGTATATGAGGTGTATGTCTTTCTCTTTAGGACAGAGCATCTGAATAATTAAAAAAAAAAAAGAATACTGCTCTTGGAGATCCATGATCAGTTACATTCTTAGAGGAAAGAGAAAAAAAGCCCAATCTAGGAGCTGAAATTAGAATTCCTATGTGAACAAATTGAGGGGAGTGATTGCATTTTGTATGGTACTAGACTAGTTATAACCTCAAATAAATATAAGTTATTTGATATTATAATATTTGCATTAAAATGCAGAAGAGATTTAAGTTTATTGAATAGCATAGCAGGTCATGATATTTTCTTGCCCATGTTAACAGCAAGTTAAGACTAGATCTGTAAAAACTCCTTGTCTTTGCTGTTAAACTGAGTGTTGGGACTGAATGAGGGCATTGATGACTTAGTCAGGAGTATCTTCAGAGGGTTCAACAATATCAAAATGGTGGGCATGACCAGACAATCGAAGCCATGCTCCTTTTTACATTCTCTGATGCATGCAACAGATCTTAAAAAGAAGTGGGAAATCAGTTGCAAGATCTTGCCTGCCATTTTGTGGAAGCCTCTGGACTTAGTCATGAAAACATCAAAACATCTGAATTATTGCCATAATAATATATATTAATTGTTTAATTTCAAAACTATTATATATATTTTTATTAGTGATTTTAAAAAATCCCTTTTCCTGAGGGCAAGCAGAAAGCATCGCATCACAAACATAAATATATTTATAAAAGTATAATATTTATATTAATGAAATATTAATTAATATTATATTTATATTAAAGTATATAAAACTGTCACTAAGAGGTCAACCACAATTTTTCACTCCTTGCAAAGACAATGAGTTTAATTTGGATTTGGCTGTATAAAATAAAACAAGTTTTACAGTTTAAAGGCAAGTTATATATAAATGATGAAAGTTTAGTACAACTACAGTAGATTAAGTTGTATGACCTAACAGAAAGTTCAAGAAAGGATGGAAAAATGGAAGGAAAATTTTTAAGATATGCAATTGCTGTTTTCTACTGCTAGAAAGATAGTAATAGGTCTTCTTCAAGAAGTGAAAATAACTATATTATAACTGCATTTCCACCCACTTCTTTATATGTATGTGAGCATTGGGTATGTGAAGTGAAATCTAAAATTAAGCATAGTTAATGGGACTGAATTATGTAAGTGTATGGTTTGGACATATAAAGAAAATGAATGAAAATCAGATTGCAAATGGATTGAGAGGAAGGGAAAGATCAAAAATAATGGTTGGATGGAATCGATGAGATCCTCTAAAAGAGAAGTGTGAACAGAAGGGAATGTATGAAATACTATATGGGTATGGTAGAAGGATGGTTTTCAAGGACAGAAAGGTATGGGGAGGTTTAGTGAATGTTGTTGATATTCAGTAGATTTCTGTTGTTGCTGTTTTTTATTTCTTTGTTTACCACCTCTTAGTATTTTTCTGTGACTTTTATCATGTTGTTTACCCTGAACAGTGTGGTGAATATATATGACATTGATGTATGTATGTATGTAAAAATCCCTTCAAGCTTCAAAAAGTCCTCCTCAAACAGCTGGATACTTTGCTTCCAGACATAATTGCAGCCAAAATAGTAGTTTATTAAAAAGGTGATCCTATCTATAAAAAAGTGTCCTATACATGTTTTAAATGTACATGAAACAAGTAACTATGCTGAGATGAAAATAAATATGATTTAGATGAAAGAAATGTTAGATAATCTGTCATTAATAGATAACAGGTGAAGAGTCCAAGCACCTATTTTAGTCTGCAAATATTGTATTTCTTGTTTTTTTCTTAGGTCTTGATGACTGCCTACAACAGTATATCAAAAATTTTGAGAGGGAGAAGATTGGTGGAGACCAGCTACTACGTATTACTCATCAAGAACTGGAGGATCTGGGAGTTACTCGAATTGGTCATCAAGAGCTTATCTTGGAAGCAGTTGACTTACTCTGTGCATTGGTAAATATTTTGTGGGTAGATGGAGAAAAAAAGAGGAAGGGTTCTGAAATAAAATATGAAAATTGTATAATCACTGGGGTTGTGCAAAATTACTTCAAGGATTTTGCATAGTCTTAATAATCACATCATTTACTTCTAGTGAAAAAACTGAAATTGAATTGCAGTACAAAGCATAGTTGAAAAGTCTGTCATTTTAAGATCAAAGTTAGCTCTCTTCAAAGAAAAAAGTATTTTTATTGAACTGAAAATGACTACTTTGTTTGCAGAAATAATTTGCTTCAATAAAGGGAACCATTGCTTTCTTTGTAAATCATACTCAGTCTTTTACAGCTGCAAGCAAGATGCCTTCTTCTCAAAATGCATAACAGGGCACATTGGCTGGGTTCATAACTCACGTTAAATGATAGTTGGTTGTAATTATGGTTTGGTGAATAAATAAATGGGTGAATTACAAAATAGCCTACGACAAAACCAAACAAATCAATTGTAGCTTAGCATTATATGCAATTAGCATTTTGCTGCCAATCCTGTTGGACATGTATTTTCTGCATACACATGTGTGAGCAGATGATCTGGAATGTAGTTGCACTAAATGTTTGAAAAGTTGTAAACTCCTCAGCACTTTAAAGAGGAGAGCTTCACTTGTGGTATTACTGCAGCTGAAGCAAACCTCTGAATATTTTGTAAGGCTATCTAAAATAAGTATTTCCATTTCTAAAATCTGCAGCAGATTTTGCTGTTGCCTAGATAGGACTGATCTCGTGCAAGTATTACATGATTCTTATGAATGTTCAGTTTCTGTAGAAAGAGATTCTGAATCATTAGGGTATGATTTTAAGGATAATACATTTTATTGTAAATGTATCTTAGAATGATTAAGGAGAAAGTTTTCTAGAAAACTTAAAGTTTTATAAAAAGAAGCAAATAAATTAGTGAGTCTTGGGAATTTCTGGTCCAGAAAAGGAGATTATACATTAATTTTCAAAAGTAAAATAAGAATTCTATTAAAAATGTCCTATTATCTATTAAAGATTCAGAACAATGCTTAAACTTATATGGATGTCATATATCATTCCTAAATTGTTAAGTGAATCTGGTTTTTTTTCATTTAATCCTTCAAACTGTTTTCATAAGTACATTTTATTTCCATTTCTTTTAAATGGCACTATTAACTTAAAAAAAACCCAACCTTTTACTATAGAAATATGTAATACTCATCACATTTCAGGTTTATAGTTGATAGATTTTTAATTTCTATTTCTACTACATAAATACAATAATGCAGGAAATAGTAATAGATGTATTCATGTGCTCAGTATTAAGTTGGCTTTCTTATCAAAAAGGATAAACTTTTTGTGCTCTTTTTTTAAAATGCAGAATTATGGATTAGAAACTGAAAACCTAAAAACACTTTCTCACAAGCTAAATGCATCTGCCAAAAACCTTCAGAACTTTATCACAGGGAGGAGGAGGAGTGGTCATTATGATGGTAGGACCAGCAGAAAATTACCAAATGATTTCCTTACCTCAGTAGTGGATTTGATTGGAGCAGCAAAAAGTCTCCTAGCTTGGCTGGACAGGTAAAACCATTTCAGTAGTTTTATGGATGAATGCTTTATTGTTCTTATGAATAAATGCAGTATATTATAACTTGTATTAAAATTTTAATTGCAAGTAATCTGCTTTCCTTATTTAAAACAACAAAATTTTTATCGATCACAAAATGATTTAAGTTTAAATATGGATTAAACTTAGTCCAAGACTGAAGGTTTAGCACCAAAGCTAGTCCCATTTGGCAACTAGTTTTGATGGCTGCCTGGAGGCAGACCGCCTACTGGTGGGTGGAACCAAATGCTGCTTTACTGGTGTGCATCTATTCCTTTAAGCTAAGGATTCTAGCACACTTTCTTGGCTAATGAAACAGTCCTTCCCTGCTTCAACTTTAGAGCAGACTGGACTATGCAGTAGCAAGCATCTTCAAGTATTGTGAAATTCAGTCATTGTGTTCATTTTGCATAATACTGATCTTTGTCAGAAGAGTTCCAGAGATGTGCACCTTTATGGCTTTCTTTCTGCCTGAGAAAAGAAGCTAAAATGTTTTTGTCCTTGGGGAGTCAGTAACTTTTTACTTTCCTGTTAGAGTACTGTATTATGTATAAGCAACATTTCTGTTCAAATAATAGTGTAGCCTTATCCAACACCTTTGCAAATGAAAAGGTTGCACAGCATGGGATAACACCCACCTTGATATTTTCAAATAAGAACATTATTCTCCTACTTATTAAACATGGCTAAAGTTTCTTTTGCAGTGGTTGATTACTACTACATTAATTTATGCTCCAATTCCTTGCATTTTCTCAAGAGACAAAACAATTTTGGACTTATCAAGAATTTATAATTGGTAGTGATTGTATAAAAGAATAGGTTATCATGATCTTCTATGTTACATGATACGAATACGAAGAAAATGTTTAAGTGTTATCAAAGTGAATTTGACTTCTAATGCCACCTCAGCTTTTCTAGTAATAACTGATAGCTCTTCCAATGACATTACAGGTAGTCTTCACTTAACCATGTTAATTCAACCCAGAATTTCCATTGCTAAGTGATGCGGTCGTAAAGCGTGATGCCACATGACTGTGTTGCTTAATGATGGTACTTCTGGCAGTCCCCAGTTACTGTTGTTAAGCAAGGACCACGTGGGTCATTAAGTGAGGACCTCACATGATTATGAATTCCTGTTGGCTTTCCCATTGACTTTGCTTGTAGGAAGCTAACAGGAAAGGTTACAAATTGCAATCACGTCACTGTGGGATGCTGCAATGGTCGGAAATCCGGGCTGGTTGGCAAGTGACTGCAGGAGTGCTGTGATGGCCCAAAGTTCGAGGACTGGTTGTAAGTACTACTTGTTCAGTGCTGTCGCAAGTTTGAACGATTGCTGAACAAGTGGTCGTTAAATGAGGACCATCTGTATCTTTGATTTGGACCATCTACCTACTCTGTTGTCTTTCCTTTATATTCCTTCAACCTACCCAAACATAAGAATTGTTTCTAGTCCCCCATCTGCTTATATCACACAACTAAATATGTGAGCTTCTGCTTTATGATCAAGGAAGTGGTCAGGAGTGATTGATTGAATCTTGCAGCATATGCCTTGTCTTCAGTGCATCTGAATGGGTCTGCCTGATTTCTTTCCAGCTTTTATAACCATTATTACCACTGACCATAGCTTTAGCTATTTGATCTTGTAATGAAAATGTCCTTATCCCAGGGGAAGTGGGAGAGTTCTGTAGCTTCAAAGTCCCAGAGAACAATTCTGGTGGTAGCGGGAGTTCCTGGTAGGGTTATCCCTGCTAGTAGGGTTAAAAAGAAAGGGCTTCCCTCATGCCTTACCTTAACAACTGGAGGAAGCATGAGAGAGGCCAGCCCTACTGGCCTGGGAACCAATTCCAAAATCAAACCCAGCAGAAATGAATGGCAAATCACTTTGATATGTTTCAAGAAAATCATGGACATAGAATGAAGAAAATACAAAACATAAAGAAAATTAATACAGCTTAAATATGGCAGCTGAAAAAAATGTTATGAATGTTTAACAAGACATACTAAAAGACAACACCTACTCCCTTATGATTTAGCATGAACAGATATTACAGAATATGTGCAGTTGGTGTACATGTTGTCCTACCGTTTCAGATAGTTTACATTTTAAATTTTAACACTGCTATGATCCATAAAGGAGTGTGGTGTTGTCAAATAAATATGCTAAAGATGCTTTGGAGGAAAGTCTTGAGCAAACTAAATTTAGAATACTTTATACTAAAGAATTTGTATAAAAAGCAATTTAAAATAGTCTGATACAAAATTATATTCCACATGATCTGTCTTTTGCTCTTTATTGCAATGCTGTTTTGGGTTTACAGAAAATCAGCAGAAGAGATGAAAAACAAAAAAATGCATAATAGATATTTTTGGATTATTTTTTCTTTCCCCTACTTTAAAATAGCTCATTCTTAGAGAGCCAATGTAGCATAGTAGTTAAGATATTGAGAGACTCAAGTTCAAATGCACCTTTAGTGAGGAAGCACAACATAGATCTGGGGATACTCCATCTTTAACCTTGGATAAGGCTGCACTCCTCCATTAGAGAATGGTGTGCTATCTGGGGGTCTTTCTGAACTCACAGTTCCTGCATAATGAACAGGAGGCATCTGTGGCCAGGAAGGCCTATGCACAGTTTCATCTGTGTGCCAGTTGCACCCCTTCCTAGATTGGGAGGCCCTTCAGACAGTCACTCATGTCCCACCCACCTATTGCAATGTGTACTACATGGAGCTGCCCTTAAAGACCACTTGAAAGATTCAACTGGTTTAGAATGCTGCAGCATGGGCAGTGATGGACCTACCTTGTTACTGTATGTGACAACTCTGCTTTGTGAGTTGCACTGGTTATTGGCATGCTTCTGAGTGTGATTCAAGGTGCTGGTTATCACCTATAAAGCTCTACATGGCATAGATCCTGGTTACTTAAGGGACTGCCTATCTCCCATAATATCAGCCTGGCTGGTTCGATCTCAGAGGTTTGGCATGCTCTGGGTCCCTTGAATTAAACAATGTAATCTATTGGGAACCAGGAAGCATGCCTTCTCTGTCGTGGTCCCTGCCCTCTGGAATGAGATTCCCCCTATCCATGTGGCTTCCATCCTGATGGCATCCATCCATCCATCCTGATGGCATTCTGGAAAGCCCTAAAGGCCAAGTTATTCTTCCAGGCCTTGGATTAGGGCTGTCACATTATTTGAGGGTGCGGGTTAGAACTTACCATTGGTTCTTTATTTCTTATATATTTATTGCATTGTATTTTCTATATTATTGTATACCGCCCAGTCAGTTTGGAGTTGGGTGGTGCCTAAACTGTATAAATTACATTACATTACATTACATTACATTACATTACATTTTGGACCAGCTATTATCTGTGTTAGCCCAACCTACCTCACAGGATTGTTGTTCTGGGATAAAATAGGAGGAGAAAATATGCTGCTCTGAAGTCTTTGACAAAAGGTGGGATATAAATTTAATAAGGAGACAACTGATATATTTAAAACAGATACTATGATGGGGATCAAACAGTGCTTTGAAAGCTAGTGGCTAATCTGAATCAGGCAGAATTGTGATTAGTGGTATGTAGAAAATTTAGGTCAAAATGTTCGAATAGATAACAGAAGTACTAATGTTGTTAGTATTAACTAGGTTGAGCAAAATATTTTCAATTCAAGTCCTTTTGAAATAAAAAAGCATTATTTTGAATTTGAAATGCCCTGTTTTGAGCATGGAACAGGCTGCTTCAAGAATTATAAAGTGCTTTGAACCCCAAAGAGCTTTGTCTCAAATTTTAAACCCTATTTTTAGCTTGAGACACCTGACCCTATAACACTTCTAGAACGATTACCAAAAATTGGGTATGGCAACTAATTCTCTGAGAGAGAGAAATAAATTTTTTAGATAATCTTAATAGCAACGGCAGGCAAAATGTTGCATCCACAGCATTTTGAGTTCGAAACATTGCTTTTCAAGTTTGAACATTCCTGTTCTGAATTTAAAACAGCTGTGCTGATTTACCAGAAATGTTGATCAGCTTAAACCAGTATTTAATGATACTTTTATTGAAGTGTTGGAAAAAATAATTCTAAAGGAAAGCATGAACAACATGTGAACATAAAGTCTACATATCTGAGCAACTCTGTAACTCTTCAAAAGTAGCAATCAAATTTTCACAAATAATTGTGAAGAATAATTAAGAATGGATTTCAGCTAAGTCAAGCAATTTAAATTGAATATTTTTCATGTTAATATATTTTATGTATCTGAGCATATTTTTTCATATTCAATATTATTAATATGTTTTATAATTAGCATTATAAGAAGTTACTATTAACAAGATTTGTATTTACCATATTTTAACTTTACTTTTCCAGATCACCTTTTGCTGCTGTAACAGATTATTCTGTCACAAGGAACAATGTCATACAACTCTGCCTCGAATTAACAACAATTGTACAACAGGTGTGAAACTACGTAAAGTTAAATGTTATTATTTAATTAAAAAAGAGTTTTCCATGTAAAGATTTTGTACACAGAATGTCTTTAGAGTTAAAATATTTCTATTTACCAATTTACTAAACTATGTTACAAATTCCTATAAACTATGTTACAAATTCCCTTAAAATAAACTGGTTTCATTCTGGGAACATTGATGTCAGGCCTAGCCAAGGAACTCCAGGAGACCATGCAGAATCAATCCAGCAAGGTTTATTAGCTACAAG